GGGGTGTACCCTTTGGTTGTTTGGTGATGCATAGAGGGGCCTGTAATCATTGCATGAAGGTGAAGCTAATGTTCTCCCATGTAAACTATCACATAATTCACAATAAAAACTTTAAAAAAAAAGGTCACTATCCCCATTTGATATAGGTCACCCCCTGGAAGCCAGCTACTTGATGTGGAGATACATTAGTTAGATGTTGGGTTAAGATGCTTTCTTCTTATATAGGAAATATCCTTACTTTTTTGGTTTGTTCATAAAAGAAAAATTTATGTGCTGAAACACCAAAGTATTGTTTAATAAAATGTTATTTCGTTCCATAACATATTATGACCACTGGATTTTCTTAGAGAAATTTATAAGAAAGGAAACTATATAACTATTAATACTTATTGAGAAACAAGATACAGTTAAGTAGTCACTACCATTGGTGATGGCGGTGGTGACCTGCCTTGCTGTCGGTTCCGACTTACAGCGACCCTGCACAGGGTTTCCGAGGCTGTATATAAATCTTTACAGGAGCAGAAGCCCTCATCTGTCTCCTGAAGAATTGTTGGTAGTTTCGAACTGCTGACCATGAGGTTAGCAGCCCGACTCATAACCACTAGTGGTGAGCACAAACTGCCTTCCAAGAAGTGGTTGCTAAGAACACTTACGAAACGCAACATTTTTAGGCAGGCTGCCTCAAATGAATTTCTAAAAACATTTTAATATGAAAACGATAAACAATGAAATGACAATAAACAAATACAATGAAGGTATCACATCTTTTTTATTCTTAACTAAAACACACACAGGATCTATCCTGCACAACTTAAAAAAAATGAAGGCAAGAGTATTTTACAAAGTATTTTGCTGCCATCTACTGGTAAGGAAGAAACATGCACTACTATGTTTCCATTTTAATAGATGCTCAGATGCTCATAGCTCAGTCCGCTATGTTTCAGATACCTTGTTTATCTAACACAGACTAAGACTCGCATAAAATCTGAAATAGCCCTCCTGTCAAAGGAAACAGGAACTCTTGCCAAGACGTCCCTTTCTAACAACTGCTTCCAGACCAGGGCTTCCAACTGGTTCATTCTGTTTCCACTCGGCTGCTGAGAATTTACATTTCTACCCAACATGAATCCTGGTGTGGCAGGTGGGTCAGTAGTCCACTCCTTGAAAACTACCCAGTATGGCTGAGTTGGAACAGACTCGTCGGCACTGCCCCACCACAACCCCACATACACGGAATCAACTACAGTTTAACCAGATCTTGTGTATCTGCAGGGGTTTCAGACAGTTCAGGGAAAAATGGAATTAAAAGAAGGAGCTTTTCCACTAACTTTTTGTAGCCTCCTATACATGAACCACCTGGGCATCTGGTTAAACTGCAGATCCTGACTCAATATATGTGGGGTGGGGGGAATATAAGTTACCAGCAGGAGGTTGAACTGAACTGAACCAATATGGGATAGCCTGTTTCAGCCATCCCCTCTGAACAACGTAAAAACACTTGTCTGACTTCCCCCACCTCTGTCATTTACCAGGAATGCCTCTAAAACGCCAGCCAACACTCTTATTTACATCCTAAACTCTTTTCCACTTGTCAATAAACTATGAAGCTGCACTGCCGTCTTTGGTTGTCCACTTTAGGGGTGATTTCAGGCTCTACTTACTCATTTTGGTGTTACACTGAGCTAGGACAATGTAGCTTGTCAGACAGCAGTAACTTGCTTAGTTTCAGTACAAACTGTTAGAACGCAGTAACTGAGCACACTGGGAAGAGCGCACAGGATGATGAGCTATGGGGCTGTAAAGGGTAAGCTTTATATAGTCCCCAAGGAATTGACAACAAAATGGATGATATAAGGCAAATGAAGATGTGAATATAAATTAATTTAAGGGTTACTCTTAGATAAGGCAATAAGAAAAAGAACCCATTTATAATAGCAATGTTGCTGGTAAGTGCCACCAAGTTAGTTCCAACTCACTGCGACCCCTTTATAGGGTTTCTGAAGAGTGGACGGTGAATTTGAACTGCCAATCAAATACACACTGCTCTTTGAACTTAAGCTCACTTCATCTGTGACAACAAAAATGTTCATCAGAAAAGCCTCCTTGAGCAATTTTTTCTACTGACCCTAAGGATGGCCTGGTAGCTGTGAACCTCAAGGTCAGCAGTTCGAAACTACCAGCTGCTCCGCGGGAGAAAGAGGAGGCTTTCTGCTCCCATAAAGATTTACAACCTCAGAAACCCTGTACAGGGTCGCTGTGGGTCGGAATCGACTCCACGGCACACCACCACCACCACTGACTCTATTAATTTGTTATTATTAAGTGCCCTCAAGTGAGTTGGTTCCCACTCACAGTGACCTTGTATAGACTTTTGGAGGAACAACTGGTAGGTCTGAATCACCAACCTTGTGCTTAGTAGTTCAATGGCTTACCCTAGAGCACCACACCAGGACCTCTAGTAGAAAGTTGAGGTACAAAAAGAAAAGCCTTGCCTTGGTCCTGATCTTAAAGGAGAAGCATTATAGTATTTCACAGATGTCCTTTCTTACATTTTAGAAGTGACCTTCTACTTCAAGCTTGCTGTGTATCATAAATGGGTGCATGACTTCGTTATGTGCTGTGGATCAGCACTGGACTCCGAACCACAAGGTCAGCAGTTCAAACCCACCAGTTGCTCTTTGGAAACCCTATACAGGGTCACTGTGAGTCAGAACCAACTCAACAA